ATTGAATTTTACAAATCTTCCTCAACCTGTAAACTCCAATAAAGTTACAATTATTAGTAATAATAATGGTAATTATCATCAATTATTTGATTGTTAATCTTAAAATTCAATATTAGCATTAATATTATTTTTAAATCATTTTATAGTTTCTCATATAATTGATTTAAATAGTATTAATAATGGTAATTATTTATTTGATTATTGATTTAAATTCAACATAAATACAATATCAATATCAATATTAATATTATTTTTATCATATTTATAGATTTTAATCAAATGAATTTGAATGGTAATTATCATTATTTATTTATAATTTTAAAATATCAATTTCAACATTAATATTATTTTTATTATGTTATAAATTGTTATATTTATAGATTCTAATCAAAAGGAATTAGATATTTAGATTTATGAATAAATTTTGTTCATCTGATTATTAAAATTTTTGCATTAGGTTTTTTATTATTTTAAGGAAGTGTACAAACACCTCTTACTACTATCATTTTTTTTTAAGGGCACTTTATATTTTGTCTATCTATTTTAAATCCTTCCTGTGATTGAAGTGACCTATTACCATGCCTATTATTTAGTGTTCCATATTGCAATCCAAAAAAAGAAACCAAAGTGATCGCAAAGGTGGTTGCAACCAGCATAGTGGACTTTCGATTTTAACACTAAATGTGACATAAAGTGACGATCATATTTATATTGTGCAACTAACAAAATTAATTGAAAAAGTACTTTAAAATACTCATTAATGTAACATAAAAATTACACAAACAAATATGCGTGAAACTTTGCATAAACATTCTTTGGGTGCTTTATATACTGAAAGTTCTTTCCCATCAAGTCCATCAAGTTCAGTTGCAGAGATGAACAAGAAGCAAAGTTTATAGGTTGACGACAGTAAATCTTTCTGAAATTGTCATGATTTTAGGTACCTTTGTTAACGTTTTTATTGTATTTTTATTATTATAATTTACTTTGTTATTATACAATACTACTGATCTTTTACATTGTCAATATTTTATATGAACTGTTGAGATTAATAAATCACATTTCCTTCCCTTACACTTGTGGTAAGCTTATTAACATTATTTAGTTTTTTTTTTTTTTTTTAATGTTTTTTATCAACCC